CTTACAGACAAAGGGAAGTCAATGGAAGTTTCAGCAATAGTGCAACATGATCACTCATGTATTAGAAAGATATTATCTCTCTCTTGCTGGGTGGAGAATGAATTAGAGGGAGCCAAGACCAATGGAAAACCAACCAATGGCAAGGTATTACAGTAACCTAGGTGAGTGATGGGGCCTGAACCAGGGTACTACCAGTGAGAATAGAGAGAAACAGATTAGAGAGCTATTTAGGGCTTGGACTGATAGTAATTTGATATGGCAGTTAGAAGAGTTGGGAAAGTCAATGATGGCCTGGTTTACGACTTTAGCAGTTAGGTGCATGGTAACATTTTCCTTGGGTTAGGGAACACAGGAAGAGAAGAAATACTGGAGAGAAAAATGGTGATTTCATTTCTAGATATGTTCAAAGTTTGAGGTGTCAGTGAGATATCCATGTAGATCTCTCTGGGAACAGAGGTTAGATATCTGGGTCTAAATCTTAGAAGAAAAAATCTAAGCTGAAGAAACATATTTAGGAATCATCACCATAGAGAAGTCAAGGGGAATGGATTGCTTAAGGAGTATGCTAAATATATCAAATAATGGATAAGTTTGAACCTATACCCTGGCAGCGCACTAAGGCTTTTCCAAATTACTTTTCTTCTTTCCCCAAGCACCTCCACCCCATACATTCTGATTCTCTCCTAGGATCTGTGGCCAGACCCTGCCAGTCATCCACTCAGTATCCAATCTTTCCTTTTATTTTTTTCTTCGTAGAAGACTGATTTTATTTGGCCGACAATATGTCCCACTTTTATAAAAGCTTGATTTCTCAGTTTCTCCTGCAGCTAGAGGTAGTCATATGACCTTCATAATTTTTTTCTGTGCATATTCTAGTATTAGTCATCTTTTAAATAAAAAGGATAATAGAGTACATCTTTTTTGCTCTTTATAATTTTCACCTAAAATATTTTCATTTTGATAATAAACTAAATTGCAAAGTAATCTGCTACAGGAGTATCATCATATCACAGAAGGAATATGGGCTTTGGAATAAAAAAGACCTGGGTTCAATTTTCAGCGCTCCTAGTAACTAGGTGAGAAACACTGGACAAATTATTTAACCTTTCTAACTTTCAGTTATCTCACCTATAAAATGAAGATGGTAACTTCTATATAGGTTTGTTGATATTTAGTAAGGTAATAGGTAAGTCAATCCATATGAACTATATAAAAGAGGGGCGCCTGAGTGGCTCGGTTGGTTAAGCATCTGCCTTCAGGTCAGATCATGATCTCAGGGTCCTGAGATCGAGCCTCACATCAAGCCTCACATCGGGCTCCTTGCTCAGTGGGGAGTCTGCTTTTCCCTCTGCTTGTGCACTCTCTCTCTCCCTGTCAAATAAATAAAGTCTTTAAAAAAAACAAAACAATAAATTTACATAAATCTGCTTAAGTTCCTGTTTTTCAAATTGTTTATACAGTGTATTAAATTAGAAGGGAGAGTAGTAAAATACTGATGTGTCATGTCTCTATCTCTAGGCGACATCTACTTTGGCAGGAAGATTTAAGCAATAGTACTCTCTGAGATAATAGATGAAATCTCATCTGAGACACTCAATTACTGATTTATCAGTTGGCTTAAAGAGGTTCACTGACTTAAAAGTTCTTTTATCCTATTTTCATGTATACTTTTTTTGTTGTTGCTTTCTTAAGATACATTAGTATTTCTACTGAATGTGGCAGGCTTATGATTTTAGTATAATCCTTTGCAAGGCCATCAAATTAAATAAACAGCATTTGGCTCTTCTGGAGATGTCTGGATCACCTTGGGTTTTAATACAGTAAAGTAGAACTGTTATCAGTATTTTCTCCCTCATGGAAGCTAATCTGGTTAGCAAGACGATCATCCCGGCTGTGACAGATATTTTTAAAGGGTTTATTAACTCTTTCCTTCTAATTGTATATCACCACCACTTATCTGTCTAGTCCCAACTCAAATATCTCCTTTCAGAAGCTTTCTGTGATTACCATAGGCAGAAACTTACTGCATCATCTTACACCTTCATATGTTCTTTCGTGTCACACTATTACTGTATTTATTGCCTTGTGCTTTACCTTATATAGTATTTTTATATTATCCTCGTGAAATAAAACCTCTCCTTGTTTTAAACATTATAGGTGAGGAAACTGAAGAACAGGCACAGCATGTCCATGGATAACGAAGTGACAAGGTTTGAGATTCCAAACTTCAAGAAATTGGAAGTGGTAAGAAATTCCAAACTCTCAAACCAGAGTTACTTTATATTAGATAACATTGCTCTTCCCTCCTTTTCCATTACTTCTAAGATCTTTAAACTTACTGTAAATCTAGTCGTAAATTCCAAAACAATTTTTCCAATTACAAATTCCAAAACAATTTTCCAATTACAAATTTCAAAATAATTTTTCTAAATTTCCATACATAATATCAATAGTGATATAAAAGAATGAGAGTGATAGTCTACAAACTTAGACAAAAAGATTCTCAGAAAAAGTAGTTCTCTTTAAGGATGATACTCAGAAACCGATTAGGAATAGAGTACAAAAAAATATATTGATTCTGGGGTGCCTGGCTTGCCTGAGTAGGTAGAGCTTACAGCTCTTGATCTCAGGCTGGTAAGTTCAAGCCCCTGTTGGGTGTAGAGCTTTCTTAAAAAGAAGAAAATCAATTCTAATTACTTAACGGGACAGGAAAGGATATTCCAGATTAGACTCTGGGCCAAAGATATCTTCAAATAAAACATTACAAATAGCGAGAAATACTCCTGTATCACAATAGCAGACCATCTTCCCTATTTTGTTTTTCAATATTAGAGGAAATAATAATTTACCTATATGCAACCGTTATATCTTGTAATCCTATCCTGAGTCATGTAAGCAGAGAGACTGCACCCTTGTCTGCATTAGCAGTGCTTTTACATACTACAAATATTTTTTTAACAAGTCTATCTTCCTGACCCTGAGAACAGTAATCATGTCTTATTTACCTTGGTTTATTAATATTAATTAACATTTACTAACTGCTTACCATGTGGTAGGGATTTTATATGCATTATTTCATTTATTTTTAAATTTATTTTTATTTTTTAGAAGATTTTATTTTTAAGTCATCTCTACACCCAACATAGGGCTCAAACTTACAACCCCAAGATGAAGTCACATGCTCTACTGACTGGGCCAGCCAGGCGCCCCTGCAGTACCTCCTTTAATTCTCAGATAACCTTAGGAGATTATTATACAATTTTAGACATACAGTATAATGAGCTCCTCAAGAGCAGAGACGCTGTTATTTTATTCACTAGTATCCCTTTTATGCCTAGTACGGCATCTGGCATACTGAAAGCACTTAAAAAGTGTTTGTGGAATAATGAGGAAACCAAAGCTCAAAGAAGGTAAGTAACTTGTCCAGTGTATACAGTTAGTAAGTAGACACTTGATTTGTATCCAGGTCTGCCTGATTTTAGGTATTCACATTTTTGCTCCACTGTCCCTCTATTTCCAACTTTGAGCTCAGAATTTGGTACTGAGAAGGTACACAGTGGACATCTGTTAAATGAATACTTGTCTTCTACCTTCAGACTACTTATCTACTTCACCCTACCATTTCTCTACTTCTTCACTTCTCTCCTGAGAAGGCCTAGTATATAACCCATAGTTCTAAGCTTTCATCCTCCCTCCCTTCCTAGTAGCAAACATTTACCACTATCTACAGAAAAGAAAATACTTATTACTGAAAAAAACACATGAGAGTTGCAGCATGGGAAGTTAGATGAACAGTTTGTTACTTTTATTACATGAACACAGTGTAAAATAGTCTAAAACACAATATGGAAAATTGATGGTCATAAACTTATAAAAATTAACCCCAAATTTCCAAATTTTGTTTTTTTGCTCTTATGATTTTTCTTTCTCATAAAGACAAATTAGAAATTTACAAAAGCTGAAGTATACTTAATATAAGTAAACTTCACCCTCTACACTGTGTCAATAAATCTTTCTTCATAAAGAGGTAATTCCATAATGACATACTTCAAGTCAAAATAATAAGGAAGTGAGGATGTTCTCTCTGGTAACATCTACTTTAGGCTTGCCTGTAGAAAAGCAAGGCACAATAACGTGCTTTTGGAATTTATTTTAAGAAACAGATTTCAGTTAGATGATTATTATCTAGCTTAAATTTAAAAAGATACAGGAACACTTACTTTTTATATAAGCACAAAATATTCTAAAACTGCAAGGCTTCTGATACTCTTGAAATGTGTCCTTATTTATTTATTGTTTGTTTGTTTTCTAGTTTGTTAAAAGAATTGTGATAGGAGTCAAACAAATCTAGGTTACAATCCTGGCTGTGCCCCTTAATAACTGTGTAAATGCTGGACAAATTCTTAGTATCTCTGAGTTCATTTCCTTTAAAATGTGAACAATAATCCCTAATTTGTAGGACTGCTGGGGAGATCAGAGTCTGTGCAGTAATGGCATAGTGCCAGGCACATGAGAGCACTCAATTAACAATGGCTCTATTTGGGGTCTGCTACTTTATTTTCCTCTGGTTTCATTATGGGATATACTTAAATCATTATTTCCTACAGCAAAGTTTCCTATGTCTGCTCTCCTCAATGTAAATAATCTCCCACCTTAAAAAACTCGTAAAATACTAGAAGGGAAATATTCGAGGAATCTTCAGTCTATCTTTTCTAGAAAATGATGTCATAAAAAGGACCTTGTATGTGTATGTACATGAATACTTTGATTTTTCTTATAAGAGCAATGCTACACTTGCATACTGACTACTAAAGATAGCTGGGCCTGGGCATTGGCATCCTTTAAGCACTTGAGTTTGCAAACTCGGTTTTAAACACTTTCATAGGACATCTACCATTTTATTTTCAGAAATTGTATTGCATATAATTTACCAGAAAAGGAAACACAATGCAGGCAAGTATTATTAAACAATCATGTGTGTAATAATTTTTTAAAATTACCTGATGGAATATAGGCTCCTTTACCTTAAGGTAAACCTACAAAATATTAAAAGAAAAACAGGTGAATGAAGTGCATTACTGAAGGTGAAGAAAACTTATTCTAACAATTCTGCAAATCCCAAATTTCTCTTGCTTCCCTAGTATTGCTACTTAGATCTGACTATAGCCACATAAAACATCAGATTAGGTGGCAGGCCACAGAAAGGCTAGCACCTTCAGGTGGGTCTCCACCAGTGCTAGCTTTACCATGGTAAACAAATTTTTCAGTTATTGTGGATTACTCTGGCCTCTTGGCTTCTACATCAGCATCAAGGAAGGGCAAAGGTACACAGTTACTCATGAGGGGTGAAGAGATTCTGTCGACAATGTCTATAACACATTTTGTTCTACAACAGAAAGAACACTGGACTTAGAGACAGGTGATAAATTTCAGAGTCTGCCACTTATTTGCTATAGACCTTGAGCAAGTCACTTAACCAAAAGACTAATTTTTTCCTAATCCGGATAATGGGAATAATAGTGGTAAGGAATAATAAGCTAAAATACATTAAACAATTTAGCATATAATGCATGCTCAATAACTGAAAGCATTTAACAAATTTCTTATGCTTTTTTTTACTTCCAAAAACTCTAACACACTCATCTGGTTACATAACTCATCACCTAAATGCATTTCCAATTACACAAACCCAGTTTTAGGCTCTAATATCATTTGGGTGATTAAGTTCAATGTCTATTGAAGATTTAGCATGCCATTTATTGCCCTGTAGGAGTATATGCCTTTAAAATGACATGGTAGAGAGAATGAAAATTCAAATCATAATCCTGAAATGGCTCCGAACACTTATAATACAAAGTCCAAATTTCAAAGCTTTGCATGATCTCACTCCTGACTTTCTGCCTGCCCTCACTGCTCTCATCTTTTCCCTTTCTCATCCTAGGCTCCAGAAAGTATAGTGCTTCCACGTTTTTAAATATGCTGCTCTTTACTTTGTTTAGAAATCCTCCCCTGCTGGCCAACATTCATCTTTCAAGATCCAGCTCAAACTATCCCTTTTTCTAGAAGACTTTCCTGGTCCTTTCTCCATTCAGCGGAAGCAGCCATTCACCCTCCTTTGTGCCCTCACTGACCACATATAAATGTCATTTAATTTAATGGTTTGTTTCTCTCCCCAACAAGGCAATCATCTCTTTGACAGCAAAGGTTGTGCTTAGATATCTCTATATGCTCATTTAATGTAGTGCTGACTCCACAAAAATTTTATGTAATTTTACAATTTGGCTACAAAATTTCTTATTCCAGAAGGAAGTTCCTATCCTCACACAATAAAAGCAGATTATTTCCTTTAAGCACCCATAGAACTTTAATAGTAAGATGTATATGAGACCCTATATGTCTGTGACTCTAAACTCAGTAAGGAAGAATGCTTTTCATCTCTGAAATGTGTTGTTTCAAGATATTAACTTCCCTTTGTAGAGTTTCATATTCCTACTGCTATTAATAGAAGAAATGCAAAAGGACATGCCTCTTAAAGACATATTTTAAGGCAAAAGAATTATGGAGTTCTTACTGTGTGCCAGGTATTAATTTTCACAACTAATACAAAATGTATGCTATTATTATCTTCATTTTATAGACGAGGAAATTAATACAGAGAGATTAAGTAACTTGTCTGAGGTTCCTAGTTATTAAGTAACTGTGTTGCTCCAAACTCGGATCTGACTGACTCCCAAGCCTATAATTCTGATCACATCAGTTCTGAACTTACAAAGTGGTCCAGTTTTGACTCTGCCACACTTCTCCACATAAATTTGGTTGGCCAGGCAAGTCACTAAAACTCTCTGGACTTTAGTCTCTCTTTTTTTTTTCCTTAAGATTTAGTTATTTGAGACAGAGAGAGGGAGAGAGCACAGAAGGAAACTGAGAAGGAGAAGCAGACTCCCCGCTGAGCAGAAAGCCTGATGTGGGGCACAATCCCAGGACCCTGAGATCATGACCTGAGCCCAAGGCAGATGCTTAACGGACTGAGTCACCCAGGTGTCCCCTAGTCTCTTCTTTTATAAAACTTCCTTTCACCTCTGAAACACAAGGATTCTCTCATGATCAATGAGTATGTAGTTTATATGAAGGACTACACAGTGCAGAGTAGAAGCATAAAGAAATAGTGTACCGGTTCTTTCAACCTCCTATTCACCTTCTCAGTTCACTGATATCTAATTTCTGCCTCTATCAATCTATTGCTGACAGTATCCTTATTAGGGTTACCTGGTCTTTTAACTGAAATTTTTATAGGTCAAACTTCAATCTGTATTTTACTCATCCTCTCAGAGGCAACTAACACTGTTACTTCTTCTGGAAATCTTTTTGTACTCTGTGATATTGGGCTCTTTCATTTTCCTACATCTCTGACACTTATTCTAGGTCTCCTTTGCTGGCTCCATTTCTTCTACCTGACCCTCAAATGTCAGTATTCCCATGTACAGCATGGTGATTATGGTTAATACTGGGCTGAACACTGGCAATTTGCTAAGAGAATAGATTTCAGGGAGTCTTATCTCTTGCTCTCTCACACACATACATGTTTGAAGATATGTTAATTAGCTTACCTAGAGTAATCATTTCACTATGTATCAAAGTATCATGTTTTATACCTTAAATGCATATAGTTTTTATATTTAAAGTGATGACTCTTATTGAAATCTTTAGGCATTAAGAAAGTTTGCATACTGACAGGCTGTGAATAGCAAACAGACAAATCAACTGCAACTTTTAGGGTCAAATATCATAACTGTATACTCTTTTTTATCTCTGTTGAAAAAAAAAAAAAAGTATTCCATAGGGCTGCATCTTTGGTCATCTTAATGGTTCATGCTATATTTGTGCCAGTTCATCTATTCCCACATTTCTAGTACTACCTATACCCTGACAATTCTCAAACCCACATCACATGCTTCATCTGTTAGAAACAAAGTATGACTTACTGTGGTTACTATTAAACTGAATAGAACTAAGATAAAAAGCAGGTGGTAGTTTACAGAGTTCTTCATCTTGAAACATTCAAACCTTTAAAAAAAGAGAGAAAGAAACTTATTTTAAAATATATAACTAGTAAAATAGAATGCTGTCTTACCACTTGTATACACACCTTTGGGTCTAGTGATGCCCATCATTTCCTCCCACCCAAATTCTCATCTCAGAGAAACTGCACCACCTCTAAGAGGCTGGAGAAATCAAGAGAAGGCACCTGGCTTTAACTGGGTCAAAGAGAGGCTCTCTCCTGAAAACTTGGGAGTTTGGGAGTCAGAGACTGAATCAATTAAATATGAGGAGTCAAAGTATAAAGCTTTATGGATTCAAAGTCTGATGCTGATATTTGGGCAGCTAAACTGAGTGAAGAAGAAGATGAATGAGCAGAAAAGTGATCTGCATGGATGGAAAAATAAAGCAAATTCAAAGATGAGACCATGCAGAGAAGAAGGAATGGAGAAAAAAGGGTGGGAAAGATAAGCTGCCCTTAAATTGTAGTCAGGCTGTACTTCCTGTTATTGGGTTTCATATAATTTCCTAATGTCCTCTAAATAAATCTCTCTTAAGTCAAACTGGCTTGAGTAGGTTTCTAAATCTTGCAATGAGCCATCCCTGAGTAAGGCACACTATTACAGAAAATACCACTCTATTATAATTGTCTCTTTATGGGTCTCCTCAACCAGACTGTGAACTCTTTGTGTGCAGGGATAAAATCTTTTTCTCATGCGTCTAATCATATCTAATCACTAGGCTAAGCAAATACTCAGTAAATGAGGAAATAAGAACAAATATTTGACCATGGGTTAGGTATCCAACCTTTGAACCTATGTTTTAGTACAGTTTTAGTAGAAGCAGCAGGAAAGTTCTCAGTTCACTCATTAATTGGCTGTAGGAATTGGACCCAACTCCTATTTCCTTTTCTCTACAGAAAGATGGTTGGCCCGGATGATTTCTAAGGTCTCTTTTACTTTCATATTCTGTGACTTGATGAATTATTTTTAAAAAGCTCACCTGAAAGTATTTTTCTAGATCAGGAGCAGCAAACTACTGCCCAAAGGCCCAAACTTGTTTTTGTAAATAATATTTTACTGGAACAGTCAAACTCATTTGTTTACATATTATCTATGGCTGCTTCACTGCTACAGTAGCAGAGTTGAAGAGATGCAACAGAGATCATAGGCCCATGAAACTTAAAATAATTACTACTGTCCCTTTACAAAAAAGTTTCAGATGAGCTTTTTATTTTATTTTTTAAAGATTTTATTTACTTATTTAAAAGAGAGAGACAGAAAGAACCAGGGCAGGGGGATGGGCAGAGGGAGAGAGGGAGAGAGAGAAGCAAACCTGAGCAGGGAGCCCAAGGTATGGCTGGATCCCAGGACCCTGGGATCATGACCTGAGCCGAAGGTAGATGCTTAACCAACTGAGGCACCCAGGTGCCCCCACATGAGCTCTTTAAATAATATCACACAATTCTGATTTTTAGATATCTTTAGACGAAAATATTCTTGGGGTACCTCGGTGGCTCAGTCAGTTAAGTGTCGGACTTGTGATGTCAGCTCAGGTCATGATCTCAGGGTCTTGAGACAGAGCCCCACATAAGGCTCCATACTGAGTGTGGACTTGTCAGGGATTCTCTCTCTCTCTCCTTCTCTCACTGCCTCCCCAACCACCTACTGCTCCCACTAGCACATACTTTCTCCACAAAAATAAATAAATAAATAAATAATAGAGGGAAGAAGAAGAAGAAGAAGAAAATATACTTGAACTAGTAATAATGATCATACTGAAAAGAGATAACCATCACATAAGGGGTTTAGAGAAATTTTAAGCACTAGTGCTATAGAATTAAATGCATGGTTAGAAGTTAAGCTTGTTAAATTTGTAGTTCAATTTCCAACTCTGACACCAGCTACATGGCCTTAGGCAAGTCACCTAAGCACAAGTTCTGCTTATATCCTTACACAAGTTACTAAATCCCTCTGTGCTTCACTTAATCGTCTATAAAATGGGGATAATACCCATTTGTCATGCACAACTGGAAGAATTACAGGGGATTTGTATAATACCTACCACAATTACAGGTACAAAGTACATAAATATTATTTCTATGGTATAATATGTAACATTTTTATCTACATTCATAACTCAAGGAAATGCAGATTATACAAATTAAGTCAAAATTCTTTAAGTCAAATTTTAGTAAGAGTATCTAAACTGGCCATAGGGTTTTGAGATCATAAAAGTTAATAGCAACATTATTATAACTTCCCACAGCTTATACTCTACATGGAGATCACAGAAGTAATAACCTTTTACACTATTACAATCTCCCAGTATAATGTAATAGGGTTAATTACATTACTTAATTCATTATGAGGTGAAAATGAATTTAAAATATATTAAACAATGGAATTTTAAACATAGGCACTTACATGCAGTACACAAATATACAACAGCTGTAAATCATTGGGAGTTCATCCAACAGCTATAAGAAACAAAAAAAGATAAGAGGACTTAAATATTGCAGAGGTACAATTATTATACAAATCAAAATAAAACATCAGAATGATTATTATAGTCACCTCTCACCTAATATCTTTTACTAATACTTTCATGTATTTAACATCTAATTACTTTGAGTGTTGGGGAAGGTCACTGAAAGGATGTGACTGTCAGTTAACCTCTGAGCTGGACCCAGGCAATTGGAAGCTCCTCACTCCCTCCCATCCTTGGAAGAGGAGTAACTTCCACTTGTCTTTCTTGCTCCCAGAGGCTGTTCCAAGGACAGTCTTGAGATAGTGATGTGGTGTTGAAAACACTTGTATTGTATACCTGGCTGAACTGAATTAAGTCCTCTTTATACACTTTCAAGTTTTGATGGGCAGGTGGAGGACCCATTGCTGCCACCCAAGATGAACCTTGTATGTAGGTACTCTCTTTTTATTAAAACTGCCACCTACAAACCAGGAGTGGCCTGTCTCTTTCTTTCACCTTTCCCTGCCCTCTACTTATGGGGGTTGGTTTACTGTCATTGAACAAACAAGCTCGTCCATCCACCTATCTACCCTAATGTACATACCTAAGTAGGACACCTGACTCACTGGACCACTCAGCTCATTCAGTACCACAAGCTATGATCTCATACTTCCAGGAAAGAATGAGGTCTACCATCTACAGGTCTGGGGGTCCTATCAATATTCTTTTGCACTTTCCCTTTTCCTAGAACACCTAAGACGGGTAAAATTTTCACTAATATATATAAGAAAGGATATTAATGGCAGCAAAGTCATTTAGTTAATCTAAGTAACCTATGTATCTCAAAAATATTATTAGTAATAATAATAATAGCTATATGTATTAAACTACAAGTTAGACATTAAGGTAAATGTTGCAGATAGGTTATTTCTAATCCTTAAGCCAATCCTATATTATTTACTTATTCACTAGATATGCATTTAATTAATTATTTAATAATATATTCACTATGTGCCAGGTAATATGTTAGTTGCTGAGGATATAATGAAAACAAGATGCAGTCAATGCCCTCACAGTCTAGTGAGGGAGGGAAATGAAAAACATGGGATTGGATATAAAGATTCCAACAAAAGGGGGTCACAGAAACCAGAGAAGGTGGTGGCAGGAAATGAAATGGGGTGGTAGAGAAATACATTCTAGGAAGAAGGAAGAGTGTTTACACCAAGTAATATATTCTGGTAAATTACTGGAATAATGAAATAGCAGCATATGTGCAGGGTCTTATAGTTAAGTGTTTTACGTTCATTATCTCATTTAAGTTTAACAAAAATTCCAAGGTAGGTCCTATTATCTCCATCCCAAGATGAGAACTCTGAGGTTTAGACAATTTAAGTAATTTGTTTAAGATCACAGAGCTAATAAGTAATAGAGCCAGATTTTAAACTCACTCTGGGGCATACCTCTACATTAAGTTGCCTCCAAAACTTTTCACTTTAATCACTTTCACATGTTCAAAAAAGCTGGCACAGGATCACAATATCTACCACAAGGTTTCTGATATACAGAAGATTCCTCTATTTGAAATTTTGAACCGCAATCTCCTGGTTTTATATTAAACATCTTTTGCATTTATATCTTCTTTATTTCAGTTTTCATGTGTTAGCAAAATATGTGTCTAATTATTTGGCCTTTCCACAATGTAGTACTGAGGTATTTAAATGATCCATTTTAGGAGAACTTCTATTCATGTATTTGGAGGATAGGACATGAAAAGATCTGTTTTCTCCATATTATCCATAGGTCTATCTATAACTTTATAAAGGCAGCTAAAATAATTATTGTCACTCTTTTATTCACTCATTCGACAAATATCTATTAACCACCTACTATGTGCCTCGAACTATGCTATATGCAGGAGATAAGATAACCCTTGCCCTCATGCTTTACAGTCTAGCCAGGGTGAAAAACACTAGAAAGTTAACTGCACAAATATTTAATTCCAATTATGGTAAGTGCTATGATGGAAAAGTACAGAGTACCATGATCAAAAAACAAGGGCCTTCATATAAGGAGTCGTGAAGATTTTCCTTAAAGAAGTGAAACATAAATTGAGTCCTGAAACATGAAGATATGAGTAAGGTAAAGAGGGACTGAGGGGAAGATGAGAACCCCTAAGCAGTGGCAACATAATGTGCAAAGGTCCTGTTGCAGGAAGGGAACTTAAAAAACTGAAATATGTCCATTGTGACTGAAGCTTAATTAATGATGAAGAGAAAGGATATGAAATGAGGCTGGAGATAAGCAGTAAACCAATCAGGCAAATGTTTTAGGCTGAAAGAATTTCTTAATTTTATCTTAAAAGCAATGGCAAACCACTGAAAATGTTTAAGCGAGGTGGCGGTCTCTATCAGCTTGGGTGGCAACAAAATACCTTAGAATGGATACTTTAAACAACAGAATTTATTTCTTACAGTTCTGGAGGCTAGGAAGTTCAAGATGATGGCAGAGATTTGGTGCTTGGCGAAGTTTCTCTTGGCTTACAGATGGCCGCCTTCTCACTGTATTCTCACATGGAGGAGAAGGAGAGGAAGCTCTCTGGTCTCTTCTTATAAGGGTGCTAGTCCCATCACAAAAACCCCACCTCATAACCTCATTTAAACCTAATAACCATTTAAGGCCCCATCTCCAAATATTGTCACACAGGGAATTAGAGATTCAACATATGAATTCTGAGGGGACACAAGTCAGTCCGTAGTGGTGTTAGTGTGTTTAAAATACAGATTTTATTATTTTTCAGGTATGGTGAAGCCAACAGATCAGGAGATGACTGCCACTGAAAAGGCAGTTACTCACAGTTCCTAAGACATGACATGCCATGCCAAGCAGGGCCACATGGGAAAGCACCAGCGTCAGTCAGGAGGCAGAACAAGCAAGGAAAGAGCATGGATGACAACCTTTACCGTGGTTTCCCAGAGAAAGGCAAGGTAAGGGAGGGCAAGCAGGCTTAGCATTGGCTAATTTAAGTAATTTCAGCAGGCTCTAAGGTCTAGGGGCTATCTTTAGTTGTCTGGTACCTGGACTTGAGGTGATTAGAGCAGAAGAATACTGTTTCATGGAGTGTAAGAGTCAGAAAAAGAAGGTGGTTTAGAGGATGGGCTCTGGATTGGTTAGTCTGAATATGAAAGGTGCAGTCCAGGGCGAGTTATTTGCTATATAAGAAATGGCTACCCCTGGAAAGGACAATGCCTGCCTAGTCAGGGAGGCTCCAGAAGCCAGAGCATCAAGAATATAAAAAATAAGAAAATATAGTTATTATGGATTGAATGTTTGTGTCCTACCTAAATTCACATGTTGAAACCCTAATCCCCAATCCAGTGGTATTTGAAGATGGGGCTTTAGAGAGGTAATTAGGATTAGATGAGGTCATGAGGATAGGGGTCCTCAGGATGGGATTAATCCTCTTCTAAGAAGAGATACCAGAAAGCTTGCAAGAACCAGTCAGAGAAAGACAAATACTCAAATGTAGAATTTAAGAAACAAGCAGAAAATGAAGGGAAAAAAAATAAAAGAAAACCAAAAAACTGACTCTTAACTATAGAGAACAAATTGTTACCAGAGGGGAAGTAGGTGAGAGAATGAATGAAATAGGGGACGGGGATTCAGAGCACACTTATGTTAAAAATAAATAATTAAGAGTATACTTATCTTGATGAGCACTGAGTAATATATGAACTGTTAAATTATCATACTGTATACCTGAAACTAATATAACACTGTGTGTTAACTACACTTAAAACAAACAAAGGGCATTTAAGAAAAGGAAAAAAAAAAAAAAAAAGGAGTGGCTACCTATAAGACAGCTCTCACCAGACCCAATGCTGGCACCCTGATCTCAGACTTCAAGCCTCCAGAACTATGAAAAAACACATGTCTACTATTAAAGCCACCTAGTCTACAGCATTTCTGTACAAGTCCCAGCTGACGAATACAATAATAAACATGGTGCCAGATCAGGTATGTGTAGAGTGTTCTGCAGTGAAAAAGCACAGTTGTGGGAGGGCTACCTAGGAGGTTACAGCAGTCCAGGCCAAGCAAAGTTCCTACTTGGATTAAGGCCTCAGAATTGAGAATAGACCGAGGTGACTAGACTTGAGAAATATTTAGGAAGTAAATTAAACTGGGATTTGTGATTGATTTGATATAAAGGTGAGGGAGAAGAAACTCCTAAGGGTAACTCCCAGGTTTGTTGCCTAAATACCACAGTTGATGACAATACAGTTTACAGAGACTGTGAAGACAGAAAATGACAGGAACAATTTCAACATACTGAGTTTGAGGTACCTGTGTGACAGCCAAGTGGAAATGTCAGTCAGGCAACTAGAAGTACAAACCTGTAGCTCAGAAGAAAAGACTGGACTCCAGATGTTGGCTGCTTGCTTGTTTGTATAGAGAAACTAAATTGAACTGAGCATATGTTAAAAGGGCACAGATTTTAAAATCTGGGTAATACAAATACAGAAGTCTTATTTCAAAACCTTAAGTAGCAAAATTATGACTGGTAAAAGAGGACAGAGTTCCAGGGAGAGGGTGGGGTGTGTGACTGAAGAGGAGTCTGGAGAGGTAGGCACAGGCCAGATCACAGCCTGCGGTTCAAATCCATTAGCCTAACCTCGGGGAAGTATTAAAGATGTTTAAAAAGTGGCATGCATTCTGGAGGGCAGAAACTGCATTTTACATGCCTCATCTCTAACACTTGTACCAAGCCTAGCAAACACTGCTCAAAGAATGAAAACAATTAGTTTTGTCTGTAGAACAGTATTTCTATTCTGTTGTGACAAATGGATAGGGGAGGCAGGGACACCAATTAGGAAACAGTTACAGAAATCTGGATTGGAGATAATGGATTAAGGTCATTGCTGTATAGATAGATAGAGCTAGATGTATTTGAGCTTTCAGTGTCTGCAGAAGTGAGAAAGCAGGAGAAATTGAAGACGAATCATGGGTTTTTGG